TGATAAAGTTGCAATTTTGTACATTTAAAATATATTACCTAATTGTACATGTGCTTTAATATGTTAGTCAACATATCAAAATAAGTGTAGGCTACTTTTTTAAAGCTTGACAAAAGATTATTATTTCAAACACAGTCTCTCTGTATATATCTATGACTGAAGAAGAAATGAGCTTACTGTGGTGCTGTATTAGTGTGCGTAGTGTACAGGAAGCAGCTTGGAAAACCTCCACACTGGATGAATGCAAAAGCATGGCAGCCATGATGAGAGAATGAAGAGGAGGCCTGTGGGACAGAAACAAACCAAATATTCGTAGGTATGACATAATATATCATTGAAATATTCAGTATTCAGCAGTTTTAACTGCGCTAGTGTGCAGAGGTTAGCCAATCGTAACTGAAGTCATTTATTTATTTCAATAATATTGCTCTCGATCTCTAATTATAAGAGGACTTTCGGACAAAATATAGCACAGAATATGAAGGAATGCTAACCTTCCTTCCAGTTCCACTCGGTTGAATGAGTGGTAATGTAGCAGCAAGCTGTTTAAAGCCCAACATGCAGCTTCCTGATTGGACGATGGTAGAGAAAGTTATTCACTATAATAAAAGCAAAAGAACTAGATGATAAGATATTTTCCGTACTGCAGGCTAAAACACGTCATGTGTCACCTGCACTGCAGCATCGTCAGCATGTCTCTCTAAAGCAGTATAACAGGCCTCTCTCCAGATAAGCATCTCCTCTCCTCGAGTGGCTTCTTTCGGTTTCGCCTCGTCCTCCTCGATCCACTCTTTGTCCAGCCCTTCATTCTGTACAATACACTCCGCTGAGAAACACCAACAAAAACATTAGTACTGCATGGAGCCCCCCCAAAAAAAAAAAACATGAGTGCCGCCACAAATCACGATTGTGAAATAGGTTATTTATAATACAGTGGGGGAAAACTAAATAAATAAATAAATACAAATCTCTTATTCTCATCAAGGCTGCATTTATTTAATGATGAAAACTGTAAAATGATTAAAAAAAATCACATTTTAAAATAATTAATTTCTATTGTAATATATTTAAAAATGCAGTTTATTCCTGTGATGTACAGCTGAATTTTCAGCATCTAGTCTTCAGTGTCACATGATCCTTCATAAATCATTTTAATATGCT